AACGACCTGCAGCAAGTGTTCGACGAACTGCCCTCTGAATAGCTGGCTTGTCCTTTGGTACTGGAGTCCACAATATTCAAAAAAATGCACCAGCAGCTGGTTTTATAACACCAATGAATGTCAAAATTTCCAGATGTAGTGCCTACCAGAAATTGAATCAGAACATGCAAATTCAGACAGTCATGCCACCATTTAATTCTTGAATGACGATCGCATGAGTTATAAATTTCATGGAACTGGGAACTACCGATCAAACTAATGGCTGAACGTGCCACTTTAAAACGCTTCGTGTCCGTCGACACTTGCGCTGGCATCGTGATTTGAGTGTCTCAGTCATTCAGATGCCAGAAGCAGCTGATTATAAATTATAATCAACGTACATATAAACTGTAATTTAAAGTTGTCATTATTTTTGATACTTGGCATTTTATAGTTTATGCATGCACCAGATGCCAAAAGAGATTGGCACTTGTCATGATCCGTATGGCCACACCTCTTCAAAGGTGCAAGGTCGTGCAATATCACTTCATGCGTTACGCTACGTTGCAGAACTTTCATATAGTCCTCGCGTACAGCATGCGATAGCACAAGATGTTTTCAGATTTCTTCCAACCTGCTAAGGGATGCATGTATGGCAAAACGAGGTGGCACAAACTGTTTCAATTTTCAATGTCATGTATTGAACTTCGTTTCATTATGCAGCACGGTTAGACTTCGGTCCCATCGCAGTCTCTTCTGAATTTCTATAAATTTGCTTTGGAAAAATGGATCTGTACGCACAGCTACAGAATCTAAAGCATAGTGCCGAAACATAAAGAAAATAACTTTGTGATAAGCGAATACGTATTATTATTTTGAAATAAGCGATGCGCATTTGAAACACTGCCATTTGCAAGGTTTATTCCCGCCTAAAGCGAGTAGTAGGATTATTCCCGTCCGAACAACACCCTTAATCACTTCTGTGTACTCTTTGTGTTTGGACATTGATCAACGAAGCAACTAAAAGTGCTACATGTGTGCTACTTCGCTACCTACTTGTTTAAGGTTAGATCTTTATACCCATTAGTGCTTAGAAGTTTGCAGAATTTCAAAGAAACTGGTGAAATTTCAGAAAACGTCCACTACCGTATAATCCGTTAACCAAAAGTATGAACTTACGTTGACTCAATCAGCGTTCAGCCTTCTTCCTCTACAACCCGTGCAAATGAAGCAGGCAAGTAGAAGATCCATAGTGGAACGGAGACGTAATGAAGAATATGGCAAGTTTTGTTGACTGAAACTGAGATGCATGCTTCGAGACTTAGTCGTCAGCAACTGAAAAGAAAGACATTTAAACCGAGAATCCACAGGCGACAAAAATCAGAAGTGTTCATGGCCAATAAAAGTTAAGTAAAAACAACGTTTAGCACGTAAATTAAATTCGACGTATGGCACATCGAACGATGCATGTGGATTATTTTTCATTCGGTGCAAATACGTAGGAATAATTGAAATTAAACGGTCCTGGTAAAGAACGCATTTTATTGTTCGACCGAGTATCACATGATCGAACGCGCGTAGTCAGAGGCAGAAGTTGCCATCATTCAGGATCATACTGTCTGGCTACAAAGAAAGCGATAATGTGATACCACTCAAAGAGTTATGCAATAAAACATACATGTTTTGCTATGAAGCCGATATAGTATTTTCATAGTCTGCATACACGGCTTCCTAGGGCCCTGCAAACACCAAGACAGACAACAAGGACGGCCAATCACGTTTTGTTTACCAACATATTGGTGCGTATTTAATACAAATGAGCATCAAACTTTATTTTAAGCTCCTCACTTGAATGGCTTCCATACTGCTGAACGACGGCCGTAGTCAACAAGGAATGTAACATATGGCCATGATTAAGCATTCTTGCAGAGTATGATTCTCGCTTGTAAAAACTTGTTGAAAAATTTATAATTCCAAGTTATTATTGTTGTCATGACTGTCACCAGGACTTGTTTAGCTTGAACCGATGACGTCCCAGATTGATGCTTTTCATCTCTGTTGATCACGTGCAGAGTCCGCCACCAAGTTCTGCCCGTTTCTATTGCACTGCTTGATCTCGTTACACTGCGGGTTCTGAGAGGACTGCATCGTCAGAAGATCGAGGTGGAATTCAGTGTAATGGAAGTGACATCGTTTGATTCACGTTTCGGTGCATGACGAAGCGAACGCATCTGGCGTTTTCTGAGAATAATAGGGAGCTGGATGATGTTGTAAAAGGAATGAATTACCGTGTCCGATATGCGGTCGATAAACCGTATCCTAGAGATGAGTCTTAACCACCAGTGGTCGAATAATTCTAGCTTCCTCACATCTCTGACTCTTACGGCCCAGCTCTGACTTCTGTGGAGGAGAATGGAGCGGGTGACAGCGTGTAGAACTCGGCGTCTCTTATTTAAATTGATTTCCCCTCATTTTCGCAGCCGCATGGAGAGCTTCAGGAAAGCCCCTTTTCTGCTGTTGTTACAAGTCACTTGATGATGCAAAAAAATCAATTATTACCTTGTGATACAAAACTAAGTAGAGATTTGCACTCTTCATTAGCGCACTATGGAAAGACTACTAGCAACTGTCGTAGATTTTCCCTTAATGAGCCAGGAAGTATAATACTGCGACAAATTTTCAAACCAAATCAGAGCAGTGGCATGTAAAAATAGACAGAAATAAACTATCAGTAGTGGAATAGAATAATTCAGCCTTTATTCAATACTTTTTACATTGAAGGGTTTACTCCGCATATAAATTTTATTAAAATAAATCGCGATGTTATCTAGCTGGATCTAACTTCAGGAGACCTTATGTAACATCATGTACAATGCAATTTATTGGTCCCTGAAAATGAATCCAGCTTTCTCTGAAAGTTCTGACTTACCTTGTTCTATGCAGAATAAACCTTTTAAAGACTCTGAGGCTCAAGAACTTTTAACATGAATATTGAATTCGAGCAGTTCTTTTACA